GCGTGGGCATGGCGAGCCCCAAGCGTTTGCACTTCTGCAGAGACAGCCAGCTCTGGTCTCTGGCACAAATTGCCACGTAGACACTTGACCATAACAACCTGGATGAGGGCTCACAATTCATTTTGGAGGCCACCACTGGATCCATCACTGCACCGCTACTGGCACAGCCCATCTTTGACCCTCTCCCCTACTGCCCATGCACCAATGCATGGCCTCTGCCTTTCCATCAGCATCCAGCGCCTATCCTACACTCGCCGCACAAATCCTCCCTGCACCGTAGGTGCTCTTCAGTTTGATCTGGGGTGGGAGGTGGACTATCGGCCCCTTTTTGCATGGCACAGCAGATCCAGAAGGAGAGCAGGAATGAAGTGAACTTGTCTCTGCACCCAACCTCTCTATTAGCTCTTTTTTCACGTCCACCATCGGTTTCTCCCAAAGGGGCGATTGCATATGTCGGCCTCGTCCACTATGAGTCTTTCTGTCAGTTGTACCTGGCAGCGTAATGGGATGAAAAAGGGCTGTGCCGCGTGAAGCAGATGCACAGCATGCAACACTTGTCAGGCACATGCCGCCCGGGGACCGCCCAACACAGCAGGAAGCCCCCGGGGCCCACAGCCCGAGAGTCAGTCTCGCTTGGGTGTACGTTTAAACAGCAGGTTCCTACCAGCTGAGCCTCTTCCCACTTGTCTCGGTTTTCCTCCGCCAGCAAGTTGCTGATGATCTGGACAAAGTTCTGGAGGAGGGAAATAGAAAGGGAAAGTCAGCGAGTAAGCACCCTCCGGCAGGCCAGTGCAAAGGCAACGATAGCACCACACCGCTCTGCAAATGGCCCCGCGAAGGAAACAGCAAAACCCCTCTTGCTCCCACGAGAAAAAGAGCCGCAACCTTGCTCAGCACCACCTTGCAACAAGACATGTGTTTAATACAACTCAGAGACGTGCCCCAGGAGACTCAGAGCAGCAAGCGAAGGATGCTGGACACCCCCCATGGGGGCTGCAGAGGACGGACACAAGTCAATGACAAATTTGCATGAGGGGTCTTGGCTACGAGAGGCCTAGGAGACACCGGGTCCATTGGAGATCCTGCCCGTAGCATGCTCCTGGCTTGCTCAGCTTTATACAGAGGAAAGGGTTGTGTTGCAAATTGCAGCACACTGTTGAGAGACCTCACCCTCCCGGACTATCGGGGATCTGAGGAGCTGCCTCCAGCTATCATGACTATGGCAGGATCCAGGGGTAAAAGAAAGCCCGCCGATCAACATGGTGGATTCTCCGTTTTTGGGAGGCGTTAAACCGACAAAGGATGTGATTTTAAAAGGTTTCTTATGACTCAAAGAGAAGCAAGGGGCCAGCGGGAAAGGTCAGGCGAGATGATGATAAGAGGCCCCTCCGGACGGAAGAGCTCTCTGTCCAGCTGCCTATTTACCCGGTTCCCATCATTACTATATCTGTGCTCTTGATAAACATGAATGCATTTCCTCCTAATGACACCGCTATGCAGCAGAGAAATGCCCGTCGCATCATTAGACAGCCAGGGAATCGAGGCCACAAAGCAGATGGGGTGACTTGATCAAGGTCGCTCGGGAGGTCGGAGCTAGGACGCAACCCAGGTCCTGGCACCAGCTTGTTTGGCCCCTATCTCTGCCCGCGAGAGAGCTGATGGGTGGCTCACAATTTCCAACTTGGCAGCTCCCATCCCTCAACCATTTTGCATGGGGTCTAGTGGCTGTCCAGTTTTAGTGTCACTTGCCTGAGCTTAAGGATAGGGCAGGCCACTTCTCCTAGGGCACTAACACACAGCAGGCACAGGCAATAAAGAGACACCCAGCAGACGTGGCTCCAGTAGACCCATTCCCCGCTCCTGCCCAAAGTCCTGGCTAGCGAGGGCTTTTGTGCTTGGCTTTGGGGAAAGCTCCTGATACCCCAGCCTCCTTGAAGACGGGGCAAGAGAAGCAAGGAAATAGCAATGTCAGCGCATGGCGGGGAACGGCAGACAGTCCCGGGAGAGGCATGTGTCAGAGATGGAGCTGAGGGAGATACAGATTTCAAAGCCATCGATTTTCCTCTCCATTTCTACAGCCTGAGCAGATCCTGGGGGATAAGCGCAACGTTTCAAGCCGTATGCTGATGACCTACCCCAAGGACAGATCTGAAGCCACTCTGCAGGCAACTGTTGAGAGCAAATCCTGGGGCGATAAGCTGTCAAACCCTCCTCCCACATCAACATGCAGACACCTAATACCTCGGGATCATCGTCCCTGGCGTCATTAGACAGCGGCCCTTCCAAACAATGCGCTGCAATCAATTCGGCCCTGCAGAAAGTAGCTTGGCTTCCCAAATTACTGCCTGATGAGCTACTGGGGACAGGGCAGAGGGAGGACGAGCTCGTTAGGCTGTGCCGTGCGTGACGGGAAATTAAGCACAAGCCAATACAGCGTCCTTTGATTTTTCTGCGGGGTTGTGCCAATCCGGAGTCGATCCCGGGGCACTTTCTCCTGCATTGAGACGAAGCGGCCAGGTCTTCAACTGGCCCACGGCCGCCCGTCCCAGCCTGCATCTCACCTGCACATCCCCGGAGGTTGGGCTGTAATACGCCCTGCGGAAGATCTCTGTCATATTCCTGAGTACGTCGATGGTGGACAGCAGGTCCCCGCTGTAGCTGGTCCCGTCCTGGGAGATCTCCACAAGGTTTTGGAGCATTTCTGATACACCGTCCCCCACCAGCCCCCGCTGGGCTTTGGAGAGGTGTTCCTTTGTCTGAGAAGCAAAAACAAGGCGAGGAGTTTGTTAGCGTTGGTCTCAGCCCCGTCCCTATCGTACTTAAACCTCGTGGGCTGTATGCAATATATGAAGCAGAGCTGAACTCCTACTTTCCTGGTGACCAGGAAGAGAAGCACCTGGGAAGGTGCCGAAGATACCACTCAAACCTGCGACTGATGCCCCCAGCCCAAAGGGGAAAGCTTTGCTCACCAATCCATCTTGCAGCCAAAATAGAGAGGGGAAGGAAAGAAATGCCCCCCTCATTTTAAAGCCAAGGGGCACAGTGCTTCCCTTCTTGAACATGCAACAATCGTGTTTGCCGTGTACCCGAGGCTGTCCTATAACCTTTGCCCTCGCCAGCTGCCAAAATGCAGCAGTTGCACCGCCCGGCAATTCAGGGCCCCGCAGGAAGAGGTTCACATCCGAACCCTACAGAGCTACGGGAAGGAAAGCAGACTTTGGGCAGGATGCTGATGGGAACACACCATACACGCCTGCAAGAAAACATTGAGCTGTGTTGCTACAGCCAGCGGCATGAGTTTGACCCCACTCCAGACTCCAGCTGGAAGTTTGCTCACAGCCAGCCCTTTGCCATGCAGTTGCTCTGGTCTGTTCAGCTCGGTCGGATGGCTGACCCGTGTGAAAACACGATGGAGCTGCCAATTACCGCCAGCCGCCGGGATTTCTTCCCTCCCATTATAAGCAGAAGTGAAAGGCAAGTGGACTAGCCGAGACGAGAGGACAATGTGTCTTACCATCATCTGTATATTCCTATAATCGATGGAAACGCACTTGATGTACGTCGGAGACTCCCAGTACGCTATCCCCTCTTCATCTAAAGTGCATCTTCGAAGGATCAGCCCTAAAGCAAAGGGCATGGGAGAGAGGAATAAACACACGCATTTCTTTCCTGAGCGCCCCTGAGCCAGCTGGACACGGGCTGACGCAGGGAACAGCGGGTCCCTGTGCCGAGCGCGAACCGCAAGCACCAGCATTTTGGGGCGGGTTATTTTTATCTCTTTTTCTCTGCATTTGCCCAGCAGGAAAGAGCAGGAGAGCAAAAGCCAGAAGACTCATCCGGCAACTCAGGCCAGGTGATTCAGAAAGAAGGAGGATGCCTGGTGTGGGCTCCGGGCAGCCCGCTCAGCAGTCCCCGGACACTTCGTGGAAACACCACGCTTTCTATGTGCAAAAAGATGGCCTGGTGCAGCAAAAGCTGCGGGGAAGACCTCGAAAGACAATGCATAACCTGCACCATCTGTCAGACAGCGAACTCTGAAAGCCCAGGCAGGGCCGTCGGACACCTCGGCGCATGGCACCCATTGCCCTTTATTACTCCTGTCGCTCCTGATTTAGAGTGATGCTCTGCTTTGTAATGCTGTTCCTCCCTGGGAGGGAGAAGCAGATGAAGCAGAGAGGGGGAGGACGGAGGGCATCTTGCCCAGCCCTCCCTGCCAGGGCAGTGGACACTTGGATGGGAGACTCCCATGGGCTGCAAACGCAAGCTGAGGAGTCGTGGCTGACTGCTTGGTTGCATACAAGACTGGACATGAAATAAATGGGAAGACTTCACCCCGCGCTGTTATCGCTGGTGGACAGGGAAATGAATGCGCTTTTGCAGACTGCTCGCTCGTTATCAATGCAATGCGCCCTAGTCTTCTCTAAGATGTGCAGGACCATGCACTCCCGACCTGCACCCTCCTTACCTGTGGCGTTGCGGGGACAGCGGATGGCGGCCGCCTCCCCGGCAGGCGTTTCCTTCCATACCACGGAGGCGAAGCTGTCTTCATCGCAGATCTCGTGGGGCTCTGCAGAGGACACGGACACTGCATTGGTGGGTGATTTCCAAAGCACAAAAGGAGCAGAGAAAGCAACAGAGGAGAGGGAGGGAGGACAGGAATGGCAGCAGGATGCAAACCCACGATTCCCATCCCTTTTGGACCGACGGACCACCTGCCCTCAACTGTTTGCCAACTATATGTCATCTCTTTGTAGCTCAAACAGCCCAGCGGAGAACTTAGTCCCCGGACAGGATTGATTAGCTAATGCCCATGCAACGTAGCATGCCCCCTTCACCCTGCTGGAAGCACGACCTGCTCGGCTTCCTGCTCACAGGCCTCCTTCTGCAGCTGCAGCGGTTAACATCTGGCCCGCTGAAGGTGGACGTCTCAGGTTCAAGCCCTGGTCACAGAGCCATTGCACCTGATAATGCTGCGCTGCCTGTGGCAGCTACACAGTTGAGGGAAGGGGAAGGAAGAGCAGAGGGAAGACAGCTTGGTAGAAACTAAATTGAATCACCCCCCTGCACCTGTGGTGCTCCCTCCAGCCTGGGTGAGCAGCTGGAGGACCCAGATGGCTATTTTGCTAGAGGAGCAGAGACAAGGAGGGAGCCTGAGAGCTGCTCTGGAGCATCAGCTGCTCGTAGCTGCATCCTGCAGCAGTGCCTGAAATGCTGGATGGAGGAGACCGCTTTCCAGAGGCCCCTTCCCACGGCTGCTGGCCACCCCTGTGCTCAGCTGGACCTAAAGGACACCGGGATGGGTGCAACGGGGCAGCTAGGAAGCCGGATAACACCTGGCAGCATATGGCAGGAGGCAAGACGGCCACTGTTTCCCGGCGCATCAGTCACCTCCACAACAGAAGTAGTGCATCATGTGGAGAAAATGTGGATTTATGGTGCAGGAAGCACAGGAAGCCATGAGGAGGGGAGGAAAGCTATTTATCACTCCCCAGGGCGGGGAAAGGGGGAACTTAGCTTTAATGGCTTTCAATTACATTTCCTATTTACAACCCTTGTTAAACTCCCAATAAACAAAGAGGCTGCCTGCAAGGCTGTTCCCGCCCAGCACTGAGCTGCAAGGGCCAAGCCAGCCCCAAACTGGGCTCAGCAGTTGTTTGCTGAGCAAACTTCCCAGGCGGGGAGGCCCTGCTGTCGCCAGGGCCCAGTGATGCCAGCTGGGATGTGCCATGGCTGCCAGGTGGGTGGGAAAAGCTGCAGAGGATTAAATAAATGGGGTGAGTCCTGGGCTGGGAGCTGGGAAGCACGCAGGGCAAACACCCTGCAGCAGGAAGGCTCCTCCTGCCTAATCCCGACTCTTCAAAACCTCCCCAGCGTCTGCTTTCTCTGGGAAGCATCCTGCAAAGCCATCAATTTCTGGTAAGAAAGGCACTGATTATCTGCCGTTGTCTTGCTAGCAAGTGATTCCCAGGCCAGGAGGGAATCACTGGATCCTTGTCATTTTTTTATGCTGCTTTGTCACAAAGTCCTTTGTACTCCAGCAAGCCATTTGCACAGAGAGATTTTAATATCTAGCCCAATTAAGCTCAATTCTTTGGCTCAAATCAAATCACGTCGCCATTTGAGAGCATCTCAAGAACAAATTGAGCGGGTTTATTTTTAGCCGTTCATGTGCGGGATCTCCACGAGCTTCCCTGCCCCTGAGTTAATATTTGCAACAACACCCTTATGGTTTTCAACACCGGCACTGCTGAGACAGGCTACATGTTTTTTTCCCACTGGCGTGGCTGCCAGCACTTGCTGGCATTAGAGGGAGAGCTTCTCGCACCCTGCCGATGTCCAATGCACATGTGCAGCAAGATGAAGTTGCAGTAAGTTCAAAGAGCTCCACAGACATCGCCTGACTATTTCCCTATGCCATGGGAAGAGACCCCGACTGAGTTGGGAAAATGCATCCACTCCGCCATCACATGATGGACTTGGGTGAAACCTTCCTGTTGCAACTTATGGCCTACGACCCCCGGATTCATCGATTTGACCACCCTGATGATTTAGATGCCAAGGGAGATAGTATCCACCACATCCCTTAGTGATCTGCTCCGGCATCTTTGCTTCAAGCTGGGGTATCTTTCTAAAAAAAAGTGTACTGTAGCTCAACAAAGGATTCATCAATGTTAGGGGCTGGAAGGGACCTCACGAGATCATGTCCAGCCCCCCCCTGCCTTGGGCAGGAAAGACATTCAATCACTGGGCTTGATGTTGGATTCAGTGGCAGATACTCAGTGGAGATCCTACTACATCAGATGCCTTTTACTTCAAAAAAATCTACATTTTAAGGACCATTATGATACTCTAAGCCCAACCATATGCAGAACACATGCTGCAAGATTTCAACCTCCACCCCTCCCCAAAACATGGCAGACTTAAGAGAAAGTAAAACCTGCACTTTTATCTTCGGTGACACTCCCTTTACGCTGGATCAAGGACTAGAAGGATTTTTTTTTAACTGCTTTCTTCTGTTATTTTGCACATGACACACTCAGGTCTTGTCCGCCCTGCAGAACGCCACAGTCTTAACCAGGATTTTTTCAGACCCATAATTCACAAAGGCACTGCTCTCCGCATAGGCACAGACAGGCTCAGGTCCCCTTAAAACTGCTGCTGGGATAAGGGTATCCCTGTGGCTATTAGCCTCATGAGAATAGGGTACAACTGCATAGCATCAGGAGTGCTCTTCTACTGCCGTCAGGACTCATGGTAGAGGTGATATCTTTTATTAGACCCGCTAGATTTTTGCAAAAAAAAAATCTTTATTTGCAAGCTTTCAGGTACAAACACCCTTCATCAAGCATCAGAGAAAAGATTGTAAAAGTTATCCTGGGTAGAAAGTTCATACAACCTGGATATACCTCATATTGCCATGGCTTCAACACCACCTTTGCCTTCTTCATACATTTCCTTCATCTCTAGCTACCACCTGCTAAGAAGGGTTAAGTATGCCCCCCAAAGATCAGAGTCATAGAAAAGTCAGGCTGGAAAGGAGCTCGAGGCCATCTAATCCGCCCCCCTGCCTGAGGTAGGGTCATCCCTATCTACCAACCCTGTACAAATCCATAATCGAACCTCTTAGAAAAAACTACCATCAACCCTAGCACAACAAGACATGACGCCTGCACCTGCCACACTATTGACTTTTTACCATTTTTCATTTTCCCTGAGCCCAAGGAAGGGTGTGCGCACCTGAAAGTTTGCAAAAAAAGATACATTTTTTTTTTTACAATTTCTTAATTGGTCTAATAAAAAGTCTCCTCTCTGAACCAAGAATTATAGAGTTTTGCATTTCTTTTTGTCCTGGACCAACACGGCTACCAAATACATCCCTGAAACACTATTGGCTTGGCAGGGAGTAGAGCAGGGGGGGGCAAAATGCGGCCTGCAGGACCCCTAAAAAATTTAGAAAATTAATTTTTATCTGCCCTTGGCTGCCTGTCATGTGGCCCTTGATGGCCTTCTGCCCAAAATAATTGCCCGCCCCTGCAGTAGAGCAAGTCCTGTAGACATCCCTCAGGCCTGAGCGCTGCAGGAGGCCATCCTCCATGCCCACGCTCTCCCCTGGTGGTCTTGAATTTTCTGGGCCACACGAGTAGCCACCCTTCCCCATGCCCCCCAAGGCAGAAGGAGTGCACGATACGTACCAGGACACTTCCTGTCATTGCACTGCTTGTACTCTTCCTTGGGCCCCTGGCAAGCTTCTCCTCCGAAGAAGGGGCCATAGCACAGACGGTCACGTTTCTGCGTCCCGCCGCCGCACGTGGTGGTACAGCTGCCCCAGGCGCCCCAGGCTTGCCACTTCCCATCCACTGCAAGAGAAGAAGAGGCAGAGACCATGAGCTTGTGGCATGCCCATGCTTCGACAGCAACTGAAGGGAGCAAGACCCTTAGGCAGATGCTCGGTATAAGCTTTATGGTTGCAGGGCTTGAGAAGACTGCAACCTCATCAGAAAGGAGGTAAAAAGAGGTGATATATTTGTCTGGGTGTTCATTCTGTGCCACCCCTTGCATGGAGATGTCCTGCTCTGATTCCTCATGGCTTAAAAAACTCTGAAGCGACTCCCTCATGTCAGTGGTATAACGCTGGCATGAGGGAAATGACAAACAGCCTTGAAAATTGATGGATGAGCTAGAGGCTGCAATCCTGGAGAGTGATTGTTCAAAGTTCAAGCTTCCCCGTCTGTCTCTCCTCTCTGCCTCAGGCCTAACTGGGAAAAATCCCTAGGGCAGGACCATCTCTCTTGCAGCGATGGACGTTATCGTTCAGAGGAGCTCTCTAACAGGAGACCGAGGGAGCTGGGAATTGTGAAACGGTCCCTCGGACAGGGAGCAACTAGCTCGGTGATTCTCGAAAGGATCTCCAGGGATGCCTTGAGATCCTTTCGCATGCAAGGTTAGCGCTGTTAGATTTGCAAATATGATTCACAAGATCAACCCAGAGGTTTCAAATAATGCACGGCATTTGAAACCATTCTGCCCTGTTGTGGTCTTCCCACACTCTTTGCACAGAAGAATTGCTCTATTATCAAAAAAAAGAGTGAAAACTAAGAGCTGGCATTTTCTGAGGGGAGGGGTCTCGAGTCTAAAAAGGTGGAGAACCACTGAGCTAGCTAGTTCGAGAGAGACAAAGGGTCTGCGGAGGTTGCCCCCTGCTCCACAATTCAAATTTATTGTTCAGTTTTTGTTTGTATAGGCCTGTGCTCATTGATCCCAGGGGTCACTTCATCTGTGGCAACATGTTACCAGGATCCAAGCTGTGGCCACTGACTCAGTCCAAATCCTCCAGCAAAGGGCAAAGAGATCTCTAGCAAGATAGGAGCCCCTTAATTCATCGTTGCGTCAGCAAAGAGTTTGGGATGTGCCCCTGAAAAGCTGCCGAGGGGTTTGGGACCATCGTCCACGTATATTGAAGTTCCAGTTTAGTTATTAATATAAAGAGACTAGATACCTGTTAATGTGCAATAGCCAAAGTCCAGCATTTCAGTGCAGTTGTGACCACTGCTTCGCTCACAAAACCACGGGTCATAGCTGTGGCTTAGGGAGTGAGGTGCCAGCAACGAAAGCCTGATAGAGAAATGGGGACGCCACGTGGAAGCACTGAAGGAGCGGCCCTCTCTCTGTTGCACCTCTCTGCGATTTACACAGTGACATTCGCTCTTGTGCAAAGAGCCAGATAAGGCCTATGCACCACGACTGTCCCACTTATGCCCTCAGAGGACTCTTTTTCTCTGTCTCCTCTCAAGAATCAGCAACACTTATCAAAGGCTGAGTTTCGCTAGGCCGATGGGAACTGCAGGAAATGTCCTATATAGTTCTGCTATTGCCCCAGAAAAAAAGAATATATTGATCAATCGCGTCCCACGTCATCAATTGTTCAACATTTGCCACCTTCACATAGCGGAGTCTTTTTAAGTCACCGCTGTGCATCAAATAAGCACATCTGCCATGCAGGGCCACACTATGATTAATATTATCCTGCTGCTTCCCTGATAGCAAGAACTAAAGAGGCTCAGGCCATGAATCCCTAATAAAATGCATATTCAGGGACCTGAAAAACCTCCTACTCGTATGGACTCTCACCAGTGACTTTCACCCCCTGATCGAGCAAACACTAATGTGCTGCAGGGATTATTTGGGGGCATTTTCATAGACATCTGATCTGGAGTGAAAGCTGTTGGTTTCTGCCAACACACACCACAGCTGTGTACAATGAAGTGGTGGGGCGGGATATGGAAATTTGGCACCGCTCCCTGCTGGAACAAAACATCAGGTTTTATGCCCTTGGCCTCCGGTGCAAAAATGCTGTAGATGCTTTGGCAACAGAGGAGCTGCCTTTTCCCCATGGGTAGAGCAGTTTCACATGCTTTGGAAATGGGACTGGATTAACAGGTTGGAAGGGTATTTGGCCCCACAAAAACTTTACTGCCTGCTTCCGCAAACTGAGTGCAAACACTTCACCCTATTAAAGTCGTCATTCATCAAAGCATCGGACATACGTTCATTCATCCTGCACAGTAGCGGGGAAGCGACTTGCCAAGAGCAGTGACAGACCCAGGCACAGTGGGGCTAATTTCTAGTCAGGTTAATCCCCATTTCAGACAGTGCAGCTCTAGCAAACCCTGTCTGCATTGGGGTCCTGTGAGGTAAGGGTCCAAATTTCTCCTTTTCCAACCCATGGAAGAAAACAGACATATTCTGATCACATCTTTCTATGTTGATATGACCTTGGTGGCTGGCATACTTTGGGGTGAAATCCAGACATGACTTAAATCATTCTGGTAAGGGAAGCCAAGATCCAGGACCACAAAGCTATTTAGATGCCTCCCTGTGTATCTCTCATCAATTGATGTGGCAATCACATGCCAAAATAGGAGTTAGGTGCTTAACTGCCTTTGAAGACCTAGGCCTAAAGGTCTGTTGTCCGTGGTGGCAGATAACATAACAAGGAGCAATGGACTCAAGTTGCAGCAAGGGAAGTTGAGGTTGGATATTAGGAAAATATCTTTCTCACTAGGAGGGTGGTAAAGCACTGGAAGAGGTTACCCGGAGAGGTGGTGGGATCTCCATCCTTGGAGGTTTTCAAGACCCAACTTGAGAAAGCCCTGGCTGGGATGCTGTAGTTGGCGCTGGTCCTGCTTGGAGCAGGGGGTTGGACTAGATGCGAACTCCTGAGGTCTTTTCCAGCCCAATTTTCCCTGTTTCTATGACTAAGACAGGATGAGGCCCAAGTAGCAGTGTCCATGTAAGCAAGGACCATGTAGGCTTATATCTGCCACTAGATAAAGTAGTCTTGGGGGGAGAAGAAGGTGTAGGAGCTCCTTCAAGAGAACAAATGCAAGAGGCTGCAAAAATGGGAGCTTCTTTCTCTGTAAAATGGGGCAGGATAGCAGTAGTTACTCACCAGTTGAGTATGCATGTTTTTTTGGAAGAAGCAAGTTGATGCCCAGAAGCTTCCCTCTTTGATTATGACCTACCAGGGACACACTCATGCCCACCGCTGCCTAAAAGCACTCAGACATGTTTAAAATGTCTGTTAACCCTGAAGGGAACTGGAAGCCAGGTAGATTTGCCATGCATGGAGGGCAGATCCGTGGAAAGCACTCTGCAACGGGCACAGCGGCTGGCGCAGACGGGAGCCAGGCATCCTATGTATGTGCTGACAAGGGGGTCAAGGTGTTACTGCCCCATAGCCAGTTCCCAGGTTGGAGTTTGGATGCTCTTTCATCCAACAAGCCCTGCTTGTTCCTTGCACAAAGCCCGCTCGCTCTGGCTTCTGGCAAAGGGGGGTGAATTGCAACTGTGCTAAAAAGAGATGATGCCGCGGAGCCGGCGCCAGACAGAAAAATGCGATCTATTGGTATGGATCTTCTCCCTTCTGGTCTCTCTTCCTCCCTGAATGGCCTTTCTGGGACCTGCCCACTCAAAAGGGTTATTTCCAAACATGAAGTGCCAGCGACAACAGCTTAAAAGCCAAGGATTTTAGTAGCCCTCAACATGAACAGATCACTAAAATCCCTATGATTCCCGGGCAATGATGCATTCATCGCCCTTCAAGCAGCCTGCAAGTCGTGTCAAGGCAAAGGCTCGAACACATATTACCATGGTGGTTGCTACAATCATCACTCCAATAAAAACTTAGGGAACCTAAGAAAAGAGGGTGAAAGAGTCACAATAAAAAAAAAAAACTTGATGGTAGAAACAATTCAATAGAGTCAGGGGCCAGCCTTTTCCAAAGCACCCAAGTGACTTCAGCATTTAAGTCCTATTGCATTTCCCTGACAATTGGGCTCCCAAACCACTCTGGGGGGAAAAGGGATTAAATCGCCCAAATCACTGAGGTGCTTTTCAAAATGGATAAACCATTATTTTGCATGGGGTGTGCCAAAAGCAGACCCACAGCTAGGCAGGCACTTCTCCTAGGGACATGCAAGACGTGTCCACCAGGCAGGTTCTTCTGCAGGATCTGATCATTTTAGGATTTCAGACTGTGTGGACCACTGCGATGATCCTATGATGCTGTTCTGCTATTGCTCTAATAGGGGAAATAAAGGGCATTGTCTTTGTGGAAGTCCAAAGGGGGGATCGTCTCTCCAGGATAATGCATTCACCCACCTGGGCACTGCCGGAGGAAGCACTCTCTGGTCTCAACCCAGTGTCCCTGGCACTCTGCTCCCCCGTACGAGGGCCCGTTGCACTCCCTGGTCCGTTGCTGGGTCCCGTTGGAGCAGGTGGTGGAACAGGAGCTCCAGCCCGACCATTCGTTCCAGTTGCCATCCACTGAGTGACCCAAAGGGGGATAAAGAGACAGAGAATGTGAAAACCGCACTCACCGGGAACAAAGCCAACCCCACGAGACCCAAACGGCACAGCCCCAGGCCCGCAGTGCCACGTATAATGCAGGGGGAAGAGGCAGACACAGGCATAAAGCATGGACAAACAGAGGGGCAACAGTGACGTGACAGAGAACCTCCCGACCATGATACTATGGCATAGCAAACGATTGGGAAAACAAAACCTCCTACTCCATCCCTTCATTGCCTAGGTGATACTTGGACATCTCGGCACACTCCTGGAAAAGGTGTCGATGTTTCTATTCCTGTAATACACCTTCATCTTAGTCTTAACACGGAGTCGTGGCAAATGGGAATGAGGGAGGGGAAAGTGTTTTTCAGGGAACCAATATGTATAGGATCGCATTTGGGCACGCTGGCACCCAAGTGCATGTTAGGTGACTCAAATTTCAACCCGATCAATTGTAACATAATTTATAACGTAAAAGCCTAAATGGAACATTTGGACCTTAGAGAAACAAATGATGCTGGCAATTTGTATTGACAGTTTTGAAGGAATTAATTTGTTCCCACGCAGCATTTGGATTTTACAGGCATCAGCATTTTCCAACAGAAAAACGTTCTGTCAAAAAAACTTTGGCCCAGCATGTGTGTGTGTGTATGCAAAGGAAAAGAGGAGTGCAAAGGAGTGCATGTGTGTGTGTGTATGCAAAGGAAAAGGGGAATGCAAAGGAGTGTATGTGTGTGTGTGTATGCAAGGAAAAGAGGAGTGCAAAGGAGTGCATGTGTGTGTGTATGCAAAGGAAAAGGGGAATGCAAAGGAGTGTATGTGTGTGTGTGTATGCAAGGAAAAGAGGAGTGCAAAGGAGTGCATGTGTGTGTGTATGCAAAGGAAAAGGGGAATGCAAAGGAGTGTATGTGTGTGTGTGTATGCAAGGAAAAGAGGAGTGCAAAGGAGTGCATGTGTGTGTGTATGCAAAGGAAAAGGGGAATGCAAAGGAGTGTATGTGTGTGTGTGTATGCAAGGAAAAGAGGAGGAAGGAAGAGCTGTGATGCCTGAAACCTCTATCAGTCTTCAGGGAGAGACCCTGTCTTTCCCCAGAAACCTGAAGACTGATCAGTGGCGTTTACCCTTTGTGTTAAGAAATACCCAATAGGATGGAAGTTAATAAGGACCCACGAACGTGTATGTGTGCGTGTGTGTTGTTAATGTTCAGGGTGGGACTGCTGAACTAACACTGATAGGATTTGCATGTCTCCAACTAGAAATGTCTTGGATAATATGCAAAAAAGCAAATCAAAGCAAAACAATGCATTTTATTAGCATGATCTATTTTAACGTGCTCCCCCAGATGGAGGTCCCGTCCTAATTAGCCTCTGATCAACAGAGATTTCACCAAACCAACTCCACCAAAAACATCCTCCTTAGCAGTGGGGGCTGCTGTCATAGCGAGCTCAGGGTGAGCAGGGCCCAGCCAAGGCCCCCTGCCTGGAGATTTCAGTTCAGTTCAGGATGAAAACTCCTTGCACTGAACTTATCAGTCCCAGGCACCAATTGATTTTTTTTAAGAGCTGGACCCTTTTGTCATCCGATGGCTCCAAGCCATCCCCAAGGACTCTGCTTGCTTTTCAGTTTGAGCATCTCAGGGAAAAAAAAACCTGCACGGAAACCCAAAGCTGCATCCGTCAGGTCCATGAGAGTTGCCTGAGTTCATCTGGTCTGCAATGAGACAACTCCTCTGGGGCCTTCTCTATGGGGTCCGTCCACACCTCTATCCATGCCCTACCTACACACCCAACACCAAACTATGCATTTCTGTACCATAATATAAACCCAGAAATGCATAGTTTGGTGTCAGGGGATAAAATGAGAGAGTATCCATAGGGAACTGCCTTGTCCATGCAATAGGGAGAACTGTGCTAGTTGACTCAAGTGGGGATTATTCATATGTCGGTTTAATTGTTCATGGCAGTATACTGCAGGCTGTTCGCGTGCCCCATGCTGAAGCTAGTGGATGGAAATCCTTCCAATCTACCAAACCTTGTACCAATGTGGTTACCTTGCAGAGGATCCTGTCCCTCTTCTTTGCATAGCATTGTGTTTAAATTTTCTAGCCCTTCACCCTAAGCTGAATGCCTAGCTACTCGTCTTAGCTTGTGTCGATATACCCCGATTATGTGCATAAGTAGCTATGATGAGCAGGTTCCTGTATTGTCTCCCAACTCTACCATGCCATGTGATAACGATTATTATAACATTGTCTTAAGAAAGTTTTAAACGTGTTTAGAAAGCCTCAATAAGAACTGGCCATGAATTTGGGTTGCAACCCCACTCATGGGTCCCATCACAAAGGGGACAGGCCCTATAAGGTGGTCAAAACCTGCTCTCCTTTCACTGAGGATGCCCAGTTGCTAGCAGTGTGGACCAAAACCAACCTCAGCTTCTAAGGAGCAAACAGCCCAGGCTCCTCATTACAGTTCTGCTTCCATATTCAATTTAGACAATTTATCTGTCCCCTTTCCCTCCCTCCAGAGCAGCTCAGGGCTCGGTCCATGACACAGAAAAAAAGGCTCATTGTCCCCCTAGCTGAGCATTGCAATCATTTGCAGTAATAAATCCTTGGAGCAGGGCAGTAATAACTGATATGACTGTCAAGAGTATAAAGCCTTGAATGGCTCCCATTGTTGCGTTTCAGCGAATCCTCTGATGCCGCTCGTTTAGCAGAGTCGAGCCGCTGATTACCTTTGTGGCATGCGTTAGAGTGGAGCATTTCCCATTGGGCTGCCTTGATTTTGCATCACTATGCTCTTTGCTAAGGGGTATGCATTTATCTATTTTATTGCAACTAATTAGGTATCGATATTAACTCAGGATATGCTTTATTACCCCAGCCTTGTCAGATGTGATCTCCTCCATTTCCCTTTTTTTTTTTTTTTTTTGGGGGGGGGGGGTTATGACAGAGCCAATTGCCTGGCTTGGAAGTTCAAAGTAAAGTCTTTTGGATGAATGTTAGAAACCAAGGGATGTTTACCTGCTTTTGCAACTACACAAAAAAAAAAAGCAAGAAAAGAAACTTTACCAATATTTTTTAAAAAACCTTCATCACCATCCCCCCCCCCCATTTTTGAAGACGATTCTCATCCAAATTTTAAAAATATCCATCATCTCTACTGTGGGGAACTCAATGACGGACCCATCATCCTGATTTTATTCAGCAAAAGGCTCATCCTGACTTCCAAACCTCTATGCCACATGGATCGGATGCCCTGGAAAACAGGACAAATGCAACTGGCTCTGATACGGGGGGAAACTGGAAAACCCTCATCTGAAGCTTGCTCCTTGGATCAGGGGGCATTCCCACGTTACTCTCAAAGCAAAAACAGGAAGGTGCCTTTGAGAAGTAGCATTTTGGAAGGAGGAAACCATGCACGTGGATACTTTACAGCAAAACTGTTTTCCACACCTCGCAACAGATCTCATGGGCAGTCTGTGGCAATCAGAAGAGAAAATCTGGCCCCCTGCTTCTGTTTGGTGCTAAGCAGGGCAGACATCCCTGGAGACCAAGGTCTTTTAGCCACAGGGCAGAGCAGAAGCATCCCCTACACTACTCCTCCAACATGCTTCACTCCCTAACCTCTTCTGGAGTGATTTAACCAGCCTGCCACATCTATTGAGATGGTCAGCTATGGTCCCTGGAATTAATTGATGGCTTGGAGGACCTGCAGAGCTGCTCCCCAGGGGCCGGGCTGAGAGCTGGTGGTGAGGACGCTTTGTATGTTGACTGCCTTACCTGGACAAAGTGCAATGTTGCAGAACTTGGTTTGCTTCTCCGGGCCCTCACAGGGATTGCCACCAAACTGCGGCTGCTTGCAGGTGCGAGTCCGGTCCCTGTATCCCCGCCCGCACGTTGAAGAGCACAGGCTCCATGGAGACCACTCATCCCAGGTCCCGTGCACTGGAGTGGAAACAGGGGAAGTGACTGTCCCTTGCAGCAGAGCCAAGGTCACTAGAGCATCACAGCACAGAGCACGATCTCTCCCCTCCAAGGACAAGATCACACATTGAAAGGACCAACACCAACCCGCCCAGGATGCTCAGAGCAGGAGCAAACAGATCATTGCATGAACCGGCACCAGGCAGCTCTCTCTTGCTCTCCCCAGTCTCCACCCGCTCTTCACGCATCATATTTTGGTGCTGCACAAATACCCTTTGCATTGCAAAAGCCCTCATGAAATTGGGGCCATTTGACATCAAAGGCACCTGCTGCAATATCTCTGCTAATCCTGCTTGGCCCCAAGGTTTCTCTCGTAGCCCTGAGCATCCAGAGGGCAGCACCCCACTTAAAAAAATATCAGGACTTGCACTTCTAAGCTGCTGTTGTTCAGCAGTGGCATTACTCGGAGCTGTGAGATGGGCTTACAGTTCGCTCCAACATCGTCGTGATTAGCTACCACTACGAACAGCTGAAATGAGATGCAAGACGGTGCGGGACGTCCTTCTGGACTAGAGCTCAGGAATTTGGCTGTTCCTCCTAGCAGCCCCTTTGGGGTAGTACATAATTAGGCTCTCTGAGACTGCTCCATTTTCGCGGGGCGCTACGGTCTACTCTAGCCCTGGTATTCAGGGACTGTAGGTCATCATCGTATCTTTGTCAATCCGTAGGAAAGGTTTTGCTCCACGGGCAATCCCAAGCCTGGTTCATCTCTGAACAGCCAAGCAGGGAGTTACCTGACCCAAGGAAAGAAGGCACTGCTTCTTAGCAAAAAAGAAAACCCCGTTCCCCGAGGATTGTGTTCAAGCCTAGCGTTCTGGTGGCTTTCAGCAGGAACCAGTGGGATAAAAAGATAAGGAAATGCTGGGGAGCAGGGGAAAGTGGGAACTGGCAGTCTGGTCATGGTAAAGTTGGTCCTTGAAGACTGACTGAGTCACAGGAAAGGTTAAAAAAAAAACCCACACTTTGTTCCCCAAGATGATGCCCAGCTCCTGGGTAAGGTGTTTGGTTTGCACCAGGCTTTCAGGAGCAGGACAAGGGACGTGGAAGAGAGGACCAGCTCCTTTCAGAGGCACAAAAGAGGCCCACGACATCCCTGGGAGAGGTTTCCGCAATGTGCCAGCACCCCAGGAAAATTGGGCATCCAATATGAGGGTGGCTGTCGCCTGCTGCTTGACTCTCCCAGACGCCCACGGCTTGAAAGCCTCCCTCAGGGGTCCAAGTCTTCCAAGAGTAGCTTCATTTCTAGGACAGCCCTCAGGATTTTCCAGGCCAGAGCAAACCCCTGTCCTATTTTGTGAGGGATCCTGGCTTTGGTAGGCACCTCTAAATGATGTATTTGGAGGGATTAAAAAAAAGCCTCTGCCCCTAAAGGCCAGTAATGCATCCGCCATTTCTGTCTCCATGCACGATGGTGCTGCGCCTGGTCTGTTTTGCTGCATCCCATCAAGGCCTAACGATGCAGTGCCTCCTCCTCACCCGCTTCAACGAGCCCCTGGGCCTGGCCCACTAAGCAGTGGGGAGGGATCCTCTTCTCCTCCCTGTCGACCCATCCCGTGCCATGGGGAAACACATCACCCGCCTCCACATCGGGGCTGTGATAGCAGAGACAAGCCTCCCACTGGTCTCCAAACTCAGGGTCCCAGACCCTGACCTGGGGAGCATCGGGGGGGGGATGTAGGAAGCCGAGCCCTCGAGCCCCCACCTCCGCCCCTCAGCCTGGCCATGGGGGGCTCGCAGCACACCTGGGCAGATGGCAGAGTTGTTGCACTGTCTCTGCTCCCGGAGAGGGCCGCTGCACTGGGTGCTGTAGGAAGACGACACGCAGAACCGGGTCCTGGTTTGCCAGCCCTCCCCACAGGTGGTCGAACACACGCTCCAGGGGGACCACTCCTCAGCTGCAGGGTCACCTGTCAGGTTCAGAGCAGAAGGTGAGACCGTGGAGCCTGGGCCTGGTACCCGCTAGGGAGCTCGGGGGAGACAGCCGGGGACTGGGGAGAGGTGCAAAGATAGGATGGGCACCCACCCTGTCTCTCCCTCATCTCACCGGTGCAGCGGGATGGAGCCGAACATGGAGATGGTACCTGCTTGAGTGGACCAGGCCCCTCCGGTCAGCCCTAATGACCTCTCCCCCCAACCCAAACCTCCAGCAAAGTCACTCTGCAAAGTCAATCCTCTGGTACCCTTTATCCCCATTGAATACCTTCCCAGTGGGGGAAGACAAGCAGCAGCATCCCATTGAATATGAGATGAGGATGGAGGGGAGAGGAAGAGATGGCCTGGCATATTCTCTCCATCTCCCTCTTACGGGCGTTCAGCCACGCGGGTGCTCCACATGAGCAGGTGGTACGAGCCAAGACGAAAAGGGTTTCCTATGGGAAACGCTGATCCATGGCATTGCATGAAACTTTATTGTTCTCATTGTTGGTTTTTTTTTCCCTGCAGAATCTATAAAATTACCCCAGGTGCACCCAAAATATGAGACACAGCATCGGTCATAAAGCAGACACATCCCTCAGAGATGGAGCCGAGAGGAAGATTGGGAGCTTGCTTAACTCCGGGACCCCAAGAAAAGAGATGAGAAACAACCAGCCAGCCCCTCATCTCTTCAGGTGCACTGTGCAGGGTGCGGAGACCACCCCAAAACCCACCGGTCCCCTGCGAGATGCTCTGCAGAAGCTCCCTGTGCTGTCTCCCTTTCAGATCTAAAATCTGCAAGTGCCGGGCTGGCTCGTGAAAGCCGGTGGGTGTGCACAAATGGGGGGCACCCAGGAGTGCCAGGATTTCAGGTGGTGGCCACAACCCATGAGGGTTTGCATTTGTATATGGGGGATCCTAGACCTGTGTGATTCAGTGCAGGTGACGGTGTCTGCTGTATCTGCGTTAGAGAGGTCTAAGCCATTCAAGCTGCAGAGGTGCAATAACGCCCCGTTGTAAGACGTACGGTAGTGTTAGAGTCATGTTGTAGCCACGATGGTGCAGGAACCATGCGAGAGACCAGGATTTCTTAGGGCGATAACTTTTATTGCACCAACTGCATAGCTGGGGTGGGGTTAGACAAGCTTTGGATTGCAAGACCTGCTTCACCCTTGTAAGAAATAAGTGACAATCGCTGGGGAGCAAGATCAGCCTGCGGACACGGATATAACGCACGCCTTGCAGGGTGGGGTGGCCCAGTGCTGAATCCCTCTCTGTGACTTCCCACGGATACAGCAGGTTTAAGCAGGAGAGAAAAGTCAGAATGAACCTCTGCAAACTTAGGCCCATCACTGCTGTAGAAACAACCATCGGGCCATTCCCATCACCAGATGGACGCTCCTCAATGCGGGGCGAAGACAAGAGGAGGGCTTTGTGCGTGCTGTTGTACCTCCCAACCCTCTCCCCCTGTTCAGGGCAAGTGTGGAGGAAGTGCAGGGTGCAGGTGAGAGGGTCCATTAAGCCAAAGTTGGTGAATACTGCTTTGCTTTTCCACCCATTGGACCTGGGGCTGTTAGACAAAGTCTGGGGGCTGCCAGGCTCCCCTGCAGTCATCAACCCATCGGCATGCTCCCCGGATGCTTTGCAATAGCTGAAAATCCTCTCCCTCCCACGTCTACTCCCCCATACAGGATCACGGTGACCACTAGGCTGTTCTCAACACCGGAGGGCATCAAACAGCCCTGCCAGGCAGCTGCAGTGCTGCTGCGCTCAGAGTTTGCTAGGGGCAAGTTGCTTCCCTAGCACAGCTTTCTCTACTGCCAGCACCTCGGTGGCCCTCCCCGCTCCAACCAGACAGACGGCAGGTCCCAGGAGACCCAGCTTTTTGCCCGCGGCTACCAGGCTTCCCTGCAGACCCTCGCCCCTGGGATGCACTGAGAATCACACCCACGATGCCCTGCTCGGGAAACAACTGCGGGCATACGGGTTAATTTTTTCAACGCCCGCCGAGCAATTACCACCTCACGTTTAGCAGCTAAGACACATCCGGAGGGACAGTATAAAAGGCAGAGGGAGGGCTGGGAAAGGCTGGGGTGTACCCGCATCTCATCATCCACCCCGAACTGCTCCTCATTTCAGATAGAGACGGAGCTTTCCTGCCTCTGCTTCATTCCTGCTCTCGATACCAGCAGCTTGTCTCTCTTATCTGCCTCTTGCAGGGCTTAGGCTGAAAGGGAGAGAAAAGGGGGGGAAGCCCACAGCACGACCGATGCATCCCTTTTGCTGCCCCCGTGGTGTGCAGGGAACAGAGAATTTAATAACGCGCCCTGCAAACTCATCGTGGCCTCGGGCACGTGCTTGGATCTCCACGCTGAGAGGAGAGGAGAGGCAGGCCCGCTAACGGAGGAACAAATGTCCTCTGCGGCCCTGTCTCCTCTCCTGCTCTGCTCTCAGCCCGGGACAGAGAAGACAATTTTGCATTTTGCCAGGCCCCGCTTATTTTAATTGCAAGGTATTGTTCTCCGGTGGAGCTTTTGCTGTTGGGTTTGTCATTTTTGGGGGATCGTTGAAGCCTCAAGGCCTGGAAAACAAATGCCCCTGAGTTGGTGCAGGCACCAAAGGGCATCAGGCCCGTCTCAGCATCCTCTAAGGGGAGTCGCAACGACCCGGACTGGTGCCGCTCCGGTCTGATCGTCGGCAGGCCATGCCTTTCTGCCGTGCATCCAGCCCCGCTCCTTTAAAGGAGAACGGTTTCACCTACTTAAGTAATTGCTATTGATTAACTTGCTTTTTGTTAAATGCCAGAGTCTGCCTCCGTCGCTGTAAGAGCCTCAAGGCAGCCTCTCTCCTGCTGCCTGACGCTGCTCTTCAGGATGGTACCCAAGGATGCACTAGCAGCCACATTCACCCACCCTGGGGCTGGGGGGTACATCAGTACGGCCCCACGGGGCGCTCAGCAGAGCACCGCTGCTGTGCATCACCCAAGGCACTGGTCCTCCTGTGGCTTTTGCAACCCGACTCAGAGAGAGAGACCTGTGCATTGCAAAGCCCTGCCGGACATCTGCCCTCTTTGCCTCCCTTCTGAGCTGTCCTGGCATTTAGTTCTGCTGGGCTCTGCCCCTGGAGGGCCATTTCTGTGCCACGCATACTGCAAATGGGAAAGGAAGAGGCAAAGCTACTGATTCGCCGTTATGATCATACCCTGTCTTGGGGGCAAAGCCAGTGCACTTTGTGGCACCATCTCACTCCAGCAACACGAGGCCACATCGATAGCAGGTGTAACCCGGTGCCACGCTGCCAACTTCCTTGGGTGGAGGCTAGTTTGCATCCCCTGAGGATCAGGCCCTAATTCCACACT